GCTGACTGGAGGTGCAGCAACATCACCTGGCTACAAGGCTTCATGGAACACTCTGGAGGTAAGGGAGGCGCTGTAGGGGATGGTCAGGAGGCTCCTGGTCCTGGGCCTGACCTAAAACCGCACCCTGCCGGGAGTGGGTGGCCTGGTGGGGCTCTCAGTGGCGTGGGAGCCCCCAGGAAATGCCAACACAGTTACCACCCCGGTGAAAGGCAGGTCGGGGCGCCTTAACCCCAGCTCTCACAACCGGGTGGGTTACCCCTTTGTAAGGTCCAGAAGGTGGACTGTAGCAAGAGAGTAGGGCCATAGACTCAGAAACCTGTCTTTAAATCCCCTGACTGGTCAATACTGGAGCCAGGACCCTCTTATTAAGATCAGTAATTAATTAATTAACATCAAGGTGTGGTGGGCGAGAAGGCCAGGCGGTTGGCCCAGAACAGGTGGATGGGCCAAGCTAAATCAGCCCCAAGAAGGTCTCCTGTTACAGGCCCGTTTTGCACACCCGTACTCTTCGCTTGTTTTATACCTTATCAAGTGTTGCTCCCTACTTGATTTCTCTGTCACTTAGCTCCCTCTCTCCCACTTTCACTCTTTCTGGGGGCTTATCAGCCATCTCCCTCTCACCCTGTTACTCTTTCTGTTTGTTATGTCTTCCTATCTTCCCTTTTTGGGCTCTTGTGTCTTGCAGAAGTTTTGAATTTGAGACCTGTGCCCCTGTAAGTTCTCAGTGTGGTCCATTTTCCCTGCAGTTGTGGTGAAAAGCAAATAAGGCTCAACCCTGATATCTGCTTCTTCCTCTTCTGCTCTCTTTTCTGGCATAAATCCTGTGACCAGGCTGACTTCTTCACACTGCAAATTCATTCTCTCTTCCTTCAGTTCTCCCATCTTCTCTACTTCTTGTCTTCAATTTGATGGGCTCTTTTGACCTTCATCCCCAGGGTCTTGTAATCACCTTTGAGTCTCTCCTCAAACCCTTCCCTTGTCCTGCCAACATTTCTCCCTTTCAACAGAATCTTTCAAATGTTTTCAAAGGAAAATCTGACGAAATGTGATGTGACCTGCCCCATACACTTGGCTTTCCTTGTTTTCTTCCTACAACTCTGTTTTCCTTCTTTCCTATCAGACACAGAAGGTTTTTATCTTCTCTCCTTCTCTACCTGCTCTGCTCACCTAAGGGCCCATCCTATTCCATTTCATTACCTTATCTTTATCATGTGCTTACTTCCATTCCCTCCCTTACTCTTCTGATAATTTCTCAGGTTCTTCTGGCTCTTTTTCTTCACAGTGCAAATATACTTAATATCTACCATCTTAAAACAGAGCAGCCTTCAGTCCCTCATGTCTCTCCAACTTCTGTTCCCTCTCTTATCCCTAAGACCATTAAATTTATTATCTACAATCACTTCAGGAATTCTGCTCCTCCTCCAGGTCATTCTGGTCTCTGCCCTTTGCACTCCACTGAAATCTCTTTCACAAGAGTTACTAATATCCTCTTTTTAGTCAATCTCAAAATCGGCACCCATCTTCACCCTTCTCAACCTGTTGCCTACTTTTAGCACCATTGATTATTCTTTTCCTCTTGAAATGTTATTTTCTCCTGACTTCTGTGATGCTGTCCCCTGCAAGCAGTGGCATAACTAGGGTGCAGCAACAGGGGCAACCACCCCAGGCAAAAAAAATGTTTTTTATCTCAGCCATGTGATAATAATTGGAGCAGCAGCAGCAACCAGAAGTCTCCATTGCCTCTGCCTGTGGCAGCCACCCCAGGCACCTAGCTACAGTTTTACACTGCTATCTGCAAGTCCTCTTCCTTTGCTCCTTCAGCATACGCTTTGGAGAATCTCTCTCTTGTCCCTTTCTGTAAGGATTCCCAAAGGCTTTCTCCTTGGTCTTCTTTTGTCCATCTATACCTTATCTCTGGGTAACTTTATCAAGAGGTAATTCCTCCCATCTGACAAAGTAGGTTGTTACTTGTGAAAGCTTATGCCTCTCTGAACCAGTTAGTTTTCAAGGGCCTACTGTACTCTGCTCTTTGCCTGACTTCAGACTAACACAGCTAATCACTTTTTTCCCAAAACACAAAACTACTAATACGGTATTTACCCAAATATAAGATAAGGTACTTCCAGAAGGAAGTACTAAAGCACAGCACTATAGCAATATTGCCATACGGTGACATATAGACATACCCTTTGAGTGTCACATCCAGGTATTATATTCAGGTTGTATCTAAATATTACCAATTCTTTCTCCATAACATTTGGCCGCTTATATTTATGCTTGGCAACTGTTGATCCTCTGGATCATGGTGTACGTGCAAAAAGTCTATGCGACCATCACACCAAGACCTTTGGCGCATATGCCTAGGCAAGAGTATAGTGGCATGAAGGCTGCCCGAGACCCCTTTAGACCACTGAGATAGAGTCCAAAGTCCAGATTGAGTCAAGATGTTCAGTGTCTCAATGGTTGTATCTTCTGCCAGAGAGCAACAGATTAGAGCTGTTGCTGACTGCCTAACACCTCAGTGAGGGCACATTTCTGCCAGGGTGATTGATGTTTCTTAGCCTTTGTGCAACCAGGCAGTGGGGCTAGGGTTCTGAGGTGCCCTATACTTGCCTTACTCTGGAAGTTGCAATATTGTGGTATTTTATAGGAGCTACCCTGCCATGAGTAGCCCCATCATGTTGCCACCTAGCCCTCAAACTGGATGCAGGTTATAGTCATACCCAGGACAATATATTCATACACACAACTAATATTTTTTCCAAGCTTTTTTCCTCTTGCATCTCAGTTACTGAAAGTCCTTCTCTGTGCCTTGCAAAATGTACCATAACCATTGAACATGCTTCTTTCTAGTTCATCACTTTGACTGGGTCTACTAGCTCCCTCAGTTCCTAGCTCCCTATAGCACCAAAAGCATAAATTACTTGTCTTTGTTTTCAAGGCTGCTCATAGCTTATTCTCATGTACCCATCATTTCTCAATCAGTACAGAGAAGTCATATTCTTTGTTCAGCTCATAACACCAGCCTCCACCAAACCAACCTCTATCCCTCACTTAGTGCATTTTAAAGCAAGCACTTTCATGCTTGTTTCCTTGCTGCCCTGAATACTTGGGAGTGGCTCCCTGTAAACATCAGCAGAGCTACCTCATTATCTTCTTTTGAATTCCTCCTTAAAATTCTTCCTTTGCATACAAAACAACTCAACAACAGTTAGTTTGCTAGTCAGTTGAGCCCACTTGTTATTTTTCTGGCTAGTGCTGTTGTTATTTCCATGTTTACTCCAGTTGTCTGTCTATATTCAGCTGTTGTCCCTTACTTTATACTTAGATTGTAAGTGCTCCAGGACACCGTCTGTTTGTTAGCTACTGGAGGTCCCTTACTAGGGCTCCTAGATACTGCAGTAGAAGAACAGTAGTAGATGAAAGATGCCATCAAAGGACAGGATATTAACATTTCCATGTAGAAATTAATAACATGAGAAGGTGCCTTGATTTTTCAGCTGCCACTGTGCTCCACCTACTCTTACTAATCTGTCCTGAGGAACTGAATTTACACAAGTGTAATGCAAGGGGGAATATAGGAGGGCATAGGCCCAGATGTAGAATCATAAGAGTACCAAAGTCCACGAGAGCCAGAAGTTACACAACCAAGCCATATGAAAATATGGGCATCCCTGTAAGTGATGAGATCAAAACAAACAGTGCTAATGGTTAATACCTTATATCAGAAGACAAGGTACTTGATTTGATATGGTCACTTGTTCATTTGCTTTCAAAACATTATAGGCTGTGGTCTTCAAGTGAAGCAATTTTTGACAGGAGAGATTTCTAGCTCATGATGTGTGTAAACATTTATTTAAATACATTTGTTCCTTCCAAAAATTCTATCTAATCCTTTCTCCTCCTTTCCTCCAATCTTCCCTAAGGATTGCTACACCCAAGGGTGGATCCAGTGGGTGTGGTGATAGGGTCATCCCCCACCCCTTCTGCCACTATTACTGGTGTCCCTGGCTGACCCAGGCACATGGGTAGTTCCAGAGGCACTTCTCTCCAATATGCGGGCCGGGAGCGACCCGAGCCCTTTTCCGCGCTGCACGCAGGCTGTGGCCAGCAGCCCGGGCATGCCGGGTCGGAGAGGGAAGGCCGTCGAGCTGGAATTAGGCACAAGCGCGTATCGGTAGTTTAAAAGATTGTTTACTTACACCGAGATGGCAGTGGTGCAGGCTGAAAAACTTGCTTGAGTTGCGGTTACAGACAGGAAAGAAGAGAAGCGGACAAGAGTTCTAAACTCGTGAACTCTAGCCCAATCCGGCTGAAGGCTCTGAACATGCGAGCCTGTCGTGTCAGCCGAAGAAAGTACTCGTCCGGAAGAGCTCTGAATAAACTCACACGAAGTTTGCTAGGCTCCGTGGGTCCTTCTGCTCACTCATTCACACGGAGTTTGCTAGGCTCCGTGGGTCCAGTTCTTTTGCGTGCGGGAAGGGATACGTCTGGACTGCGCTCGGCGACGGGGAGAGGCTAGAGGCTGATCAGACCTCCATTGCCTGCTTTAAATGCACTGGGTCCGTAAGGATC